TGATCCAGCCCTGCTCAGCCCAGTCCCATGCTCGGGTGGACTGAATGGGGCACCCTTCTTATTCCTCTTCCTCACTATACCCTGACTTTCTCCCTCAAAGGAGCCCTGTTAGCCTTTCCAACTCCTTCTCACACCAGTCCTGCAAGGCAGGCCAGGCTGGGTAGTCAGAGACAGGCCCAAAATCAAAAGTGAGCTTCATGGGTCAGCAGGAACTCAAACCTGGCTCTCCCAAGCCCTGGTCCAACACTCAAACCGGTACGCACTGGAATTCTCCTCGCCTTCCTGTGCCAGGTCCGTGGCAGCTGTGGTCAGCTTGTGCAATCCTGCTCAAGCGTGCCTTCCCAAGCAATCTTTGCTGCAGAATTGAAAGCAGCTTCTCCAGTCCCCCGATGGGGTGGACTCCATGAAGGCCTGTGCAGAGTGGGACATTTGGAAGAGACTAGGCTGGTGAGATTCCCGTCAGAGACAAGATCCGTTCCAGGCTTGCAATGAAGAATTTTTTGGAAACCTGTGCTGGACAGACTGCCCCTCTCTCTTTCGCCATAGATACACACGTGCAAATTTACTTGGGAATAATCCCGTTGACCTCAGCGAGACAGCCCCTCCTGTTCTGTCTCAGCCATGCTGCAAACTTCCACCCAGTGCAAAATCCAGGGGTCTGTTTCGCAGCCAAAACAACATGCAGTTTATTTTAAAACCTTTGCACACCGTTCTTCTTCAACTAGATTCTGGGACCACCACATTCTGCCTTTGGGACTTCCTCCGGGTGCCAATCCCTTGAGAAGCTCAGAGGGTGGTAAGTACACAGAGGCGGTGGTGGCCCCCATCTTTGGAACGACCTCCCTTCTGCCACCTAAAGGTGAAGGTTTCCCCTTGACGTGAAGTCCAGGCATGCCTGACTCCAGGGGCCAGTGCTCACCTCCGTTTCCTGGCTGAGGGAGCCGGCGTTTGTCCACAGATGGTCTCTGTGCTCATGTGGCCGCATGACTGAACACCGAGGTGCACGGAACGCTGTTACCTGCCCACCGAAGTGGCACCTTTTTATCTACCTGCACTTGCATGCTTTCGAACCGCAAGGCTGGCAGGAGCTGGGACGGAGCAACGGGACTCACCCCGTTGTGCAGATTCGAACTGGCGACCTTTCGATCTACCAGCCCAGCAGCACAGCGGTTTAACCCACTGCGCCACCTGCACCTGCCTGGTGCCAAATCTGCCATCTTTCTGGTGGCAGGTCAAGGCACCCCTTTTTCCTGGTGCCGCTAAAGACTTCCCTGGTCATTCTGGTGCTGTTACAATTATTCTTTTTCTGATTTTTCTATTCTTTTCTGATTTATATCCTGCCTTTTTCCTGCAAAGGGCTCAAGGCAGCTCACATCATTCTCCTCCTCCATCTCATCCCCACAACAACAACCCTGTGAGGTAGGTTGGGCTGAGAGTCTGTGACTGGCCCAAAGCCACCCAGTCGGCTCCATGGCTGAGCGGGGACTAGAACCCAGGTTGTCTGAGTCCCAGGCCCATGTGCCTAACCACGACACCACACTGGCTCTCAATTAGCCAGTGCCTTCCTTTTATTCTTGGTCAAGCCTTTGTAAAATGTCATTTCATGTTCTTCTATGTTCTTTTAAATTCATTTTTAAATTCTTAATGCTTTTATCTATTGTATTTTATTGTTTTTAAGCTTTGTTGTAAACTTTCAGAGAGCTTTGGCTATGGGCAGTATGGAAATGAGGATGATGATGATGATGATACTAATAAAAACAAACTTGGACAATAGAACAAATCCACAGTAGAACAGACAAGAGGCATCCCTCAATTAAAAATGCTGAGGAAATGGAGATTACATATAAAGGAGATCAACCCTGACTGCTCTTTGGAAGGCCAGATACTGAAGATGAAACTCAAATACGTTGGGCACATAATGAGAAGGAAGGACTCCCTGGAGAAGAGCCTGATGCTGGGAAGGATTGAAGGCCAAAAAGAAGGGGACGGCAGAGGATGAGGGGGCTGGATGGAGTCACTGGGGCAGTGGGTGTGAGCTTAGCTGGACTCTGGGGGATGGTGGAGGACAGGAAGGCCTGGAGGAAGGTTGTCCATGGGGTCACGATGGGTTGGACATGACTTTGTGACGAACAACACCAATGTATGGCTGTGAGAGCTGGACCATAAGGAAGGCTGAGTGCCGAAGAATCGAGGCCTTTGGATTGTGGTGCTGGAGGAGACTCTGCGAGTCCCTTGGACCGCAAGGCGATCAAACCGGTCAGTCCTGGAGGAGATCAACCCTGACTGCTCTTTAGAAGGCCAGATCCTGAAGATGAAGCTCAAATGCTTTGGCCACCTGATGAGAAGGAAGGACTCCCTGGAGAAGAGCCTGATGCTGGGAATGATTGATGGCAAAAGAAGAAGGGGATTGCAGGGGTTGAGGTGGCTGGATGGGGTCACTGGGGCAGTGGGGGTGAGCTTAAGTGGACTCCGGGGGATGGTGGAGGAGAGGAGGGCCTGGAGGAAGGTTGTCCGTGGGGTTGCGACTGGCAGCAATGAAGTATGCACGTATCCAGTTAACACAGGCATCTCTCTGCAGGGAGGCTCCACTGTGGTTTGGGTGCCGTCACCAAGAAAGCCCTGTTCACCACTGTGGCCTCGCTGGTGGGAAGGCACCTGCAATTTTGTGAGACCATGCTGCTCTGCAGGAGAGGAAGCCCGGTGTTTGTGCAGAGGCGGTGCTAAGTGAGAGGGCTCCGGGGCATGTGCAGAGTTCCTTTCCCCCACAGATGCATCACACACGCCTGGGGCCGGAAGAAGGTGGGAAGAACCTTCCTGCGTTGGCTCAGAGCTGGCATCCAGTGACTGAGGGTGAAAAGAGGGAAGGCAGAAAAAGCACCAAAAGCAGCAAATGTTTTTCAGTTTCCTTTCCTCTTCGTAACTGCAGGGCCCTTGAGAAAAAGCTGTGGGTGGGAATGACTGCAAGAAAGCTGGGCTCACAAGCGAGTTGGTGGGGGGTGGCAGGCGCCTCCATTTCTGAGAAAGAAGCCACCCATTTCCCCCCGCCCCCCGCCTCGGGGGGGGGAGCAAGGCGATTTCACCACGTGGCTTTCATGCAGCCAGGCGGCCTCCTGGCACCAACGCTTGGAAAAGTCCCAGCAGGGGCAGTGTGGGGCCGAGGCTGTGCATGGAAAACCGAGCCCTTCCCCAAATAAAACCCCTCACCCAGGGTCAGAAATGAATTTTGCAGTGGAGCCGGAGACTTGGGTGGACCATGGATGAGATACAGAGAGGGAAAAACAGCGCATGCATGACAATCACAAAAGCACATGCGTGTTGCCCTTTCAGAATGGGTGCAACTGAGTGAGAGCTTTCTATTTTAAAAAGGAATGGAGTCCATCCCACCAGGGCAAGGGTGATTTTAGAAACACAGAAACAGAGCGAGTCAGAAAGGGCCTCCTGGGCCATCTAGTCTGACCCCAGCTCCAGCTGGCTCTGCTCATAGAAACATAGAAGCTGAGTGAGGCAGAAGGGGTCTCCTGGGCCATCTAGTCTGACCCCCGGCTCCTGCCGGCTCCACTCATGACATGCCCGCCAGGTGCATGTCCAGCTTGTCCTTGAACACCCGCACCGATGGGGGCTCAACCACCTCCTTTCCACACCCTGGGGGTCCTAACTGTCAGTAAGCCCTTCCTAGCATCTAAACTGAACCTTAGTTCCCTGAGGGCGTCCTGCCCTCCTCTGCAGGGGAGAGCAGGTCTCTCCACACCTCCGTGTGACACCCCCTCACATACCTGCATGTCGCCAACAGACCCCCTCGGAGTCCCCACTTCTCCAGGCTCCCTCAGTCTCGCCTCGCAGGGCTTCCCCTGCAATTTTGACCTGGGGGGCAGCATGCCTGGAGACCTGGCCTGCCATCCAGGGGCTGCCGGTCTGTGGCGGCATCAAAGCTTGCTGTGGCCTTTCCTGAGCAGGGCTGCCAACTTCCTCTGTCAGGCCTACTGGGTCTCTCCAAGCAGAGGTGAATTTTCCTGCCACAAGCCGCTCTTTTCGGTTGCCATGCAAGATGTTGGGAGGCGACTTGGGGTGGAGACGAAAACTCGCCCGGTTGGTTTTGTGGCTGCCTAGACTCCCTTCGGTACTACAGGTGGCGCAGTGGTTGAAACCGCTGTGCTGCTGGGCTGGTTGATCGAAAGGTCGCTGGTTTGAATCTGCACAACGGGGTGAGTTCCCGTTGCTCCGTCCCAGCTCCTGCCAGCCTTGCAGTTCGAAAGCATAAGTGCAGGTAGATAAAAAGACGCCACTTCGGTGGGCAGGTAACAGCGCTCCGTGCACCTTGGTGTTTAGTCCTGCCGGCCACATGAGCACGGAGACCGTCTGCGGACAAGCGCCGGCTCCCTCGGCCAGGAAACAGAGGTGAGCACCGCCCCCAAGAGTCAGGCATGCCTGGACTTCACGTCAAGGGGAAACCTTTACCATTACCTTTTGACTCCCTTCGGGGCTACAGACCAGCTAAGTTTAGGGCTACACCTCTGGTCACGAGCAAGAATTTAGAGACTGAGCCTTCTTTCAAGTAAATGCAATGCTCTGGCTAGGGCTGATGGGAGTTGTTGGACAAAGGCTTGGCCATTCCCCAAGGGGGAGGGGGCTTCCGGGAAAGGACACACAACCGCCTTGCCAAAGACACTGAACTGTGGTGGGCACCAGGCTGCAAAAGGCCAGTTCTGTGAGAATGAGGACCCTGGTCACTTCGTCACCCAAATGACGTGGTCACCTGTCCTGAAGATTACAAGGGATCAGGATCCCAGGAGGCCAAATTTGGCCCATGGACCTGAGCTTCCACACCCGTGCTGTGTAGGATATCAGCCTTCAGTGTCCAGGTTTGGAGATGGGCACAATCAACATGAGAACCTGTGCAAATTTTGTAACTTTGGGAATTCACCCCAAAGCTGCCAAGGCACCCATTTCTCATCTATGTCACCCACCAGATCTCTTGAACATTATTCACTCCATAACACCAGTGTGGTTCAAGCAATCTTTATTTTGTGTTTATTATTTTAAACCATGTTTTAAAAGTTTCTTCTTTTTAATACAGGTAACTTAAATGAGGTGATAAAACTCATTCCCACCGCCCCTGTCCCACACACTCTTTCAAAAACACACATACAGAATTTGTTTGTAATGCTTTTGACAATCCTTCTTTTTGCTGTTATACGTTAAAAATAATCCAGAACCAGAATAATAAAGGCAACCCACCTCTGCCAGACGAGAGGGTGGGAAAATGGATAACCAGGACACAGATACACGCACTCAAACCATACAAAAAGTAGTATATTTAAATATATAATAAAAAATTACAAAAAATTAAAAACCCGCTACAGCATCACATACAGACGAATTTCACATCTAGGGAAAAGAAACTGGAAGTGTAACAGCACTATTTGACCAGAAGGGAACGTGAGGATGAAGAGACGGATTGATGCAAATTTTGGCAGCCGGCACTGGGAGGCCGACTTTTAAGAATGCAGAGAATAGGCTGGGGGACCCTTGTGAAGCGGGAAGAGGAGCTAAGATGCAGAGGGGGGAATTGTTTCAAAGAGATGAACCAGGTCTGCAGTGCAAGGGCTTCCAAAACTGGACTCCAAGGTGTGTTTTAGGACCACTTAAACCTACTTTGATTCTTTGGAAGAGATGCCTTTTTTGTGAGGGGCTTCTGGATTCGAGTTCTTCTGTAAAGGAGAGTGGTAGCACTGGTCCTGGGGAACACCGTTCAAATCCATGATGTTCCCCTTTTCCCAGGTTAGGCTTTAGTAGCACATCCAAACACAGATTTGCCATGGAATGTTGCTAAATTGGTTCATTAAAGCCCAAGTTTTATAAAAGAAAAGTTCTTTCTCACTGGCCCGCACTCCTTTGCCTCTGTATTTTTGTGACTTTTAAAAAGCGCACTAAATGAAAGCAATACCAAAACACAATGTGCTTTTTTTGCCATGAGAAATTGACTTGGGGTGGCTGCGTCAACATTTCCATTGCAGGGGTGGGAAGGCTAAAAAACCCATAAGAAACTTAACTCTTAATTTTACTAGTCAGTCCAATTTAGTTGGGAAGAAAAGGTGACTTAGTGGTGGATGTGGAAATGCATTTTTTTTTTCAAATTGTCCCTAACTCTTCAGTTTAAACAAGTAAGGGATAGTTTTGTGTATTAGTTAGTGTATAGAAATTCAAGGGCAAAAGCTTTTTATAAAATCAAATCCCAGTATGGCTGGGCTGCCTGGGAGATGTCCAATTTTCTACCTGAAATTGTGGCTTAAGGGACATTATTCTGCGAAGGACAGATTTTCCTGTCTAAGTACGGGGCAGGCCTTTAAGAATCTGTTTGGAAATTTAAAAAAAAAAAAAACACACACACACAAGCCATGAGGAAAATTCGTGGTACCATGGCTCAGGTCCTCCTGGGGCATCGAGTGTTTTCCAGGCATTTCCTAAACCCCGCCCCCCCGCCCCCTTGAACATCTCATCCTTAACTTCCAAGAAATAGTGGGCAGGGCATAGGGTCACCTTTAAATAGGATGCCAGGAAATGGAATTGCTCTATGGAAAAAAGGAATGAAGTTCGGCAGCTGTGAAGGATAGAATTTCGGCACAAGGAAGGAAAGAAAAAAGTAACGGAGTGACGGATATGCAAACAATCCCAAAGTGAGGGACTTGCTTCAAATGTTTATTCTGCCTTTGAAAAACAAAAAGCAAGTAGTGTTTAAAACCTCTGAAGGCCTAAGCCAGTGGTCAACTGCTATTTCTTCGGTCACTTTCAACCACTGACTGCTGGAAAGAAGGGGTGTGAGAAAGCATGGATCAGGACCTGGCAACATGTGAAGGCGTTACCCCAAAAGGGGAAACGAGGCAAGCCAGAAGATGCAACGCTCTCTCTCCACATCTGGCAAAGTTAAGGCTCAAAACACAACAGATAATACAAGAGAACCGTAAAGGAGTCTTTGAACCCAAGAGGACCACAGAAGTGGCTCTTTCGAGCTCAAGAGGCCCCCAAACATTTCTAAAAGAATTTCTACAGGCCACATTGCGGGACTTAAAACACCCACACACAACAGCCTTCCCCTAACATGACTGGGGCACACACGATGCTCGAGGGAAGTCTGCTTCCAACACCAGGCGTGTGGTCAGAGCTGGGCTGCAGCAGAGTGCCCCCTCTCCAAATCTCCCGTGGGTCTTTGGAGACAGATGCAAACACACAAAAGCACCTGACCGACTTAAAACGCAGGTTTTGGAAAAGGTCTGAGCAGTTTGGGAACAGGTTCAAGGATCCCACAAAGCAGGAGAAGCTGGCTACCCTCTGTTAAGAGCTGGTCAGTGGCCTTCCAGGATTATAACCCCCCCTTTGTAAGGGAAGCCTGGTTTTCATGTTAGTGCTGGAACGGAGACGTGCCCCACAGGGGGCAAAAATCCACATTGGCCACTTAATACTCGTTTCATGTTGCAGCCATGTGGCCGAAAAAGTTAGGGCCACATCCCATAATTTTCCTTTGCCCTCCTCTTGGGATGGCGGCTCCCTTCCTTGAAAAAACACACACACACTCACACACACACTTGTGGTTGCTAGGCTTGGACAGAAGAAAAAAGGACAACAATTCTACAATGTGAAAAAATAGCTGGCTCAGATAGTTTAATCTATAAATAACAATTTAACACACACACACAAAGCCCGAGTATCTCATTAAGTCACCAGATTCAATTTCATGTTCATTTCATTAAAAAAAAATACCCAGAAAGAAAACTCAGTCACTACAACAGAGTGTACCTCTGGGATTTTCGTGTGGTGAGCTCTAAGGGGGCTGGAGGTATCCATGCCCCACGGAGGAAAACGAGGTTAGCAAATCGGAATGTTACAGGTGCAGGGATTTCCAGGTGCTAAAAAGAGGGGGGCTTTCAGTCTCTAGAAACAAGGAGTCCCACTGGGTGTTCATGGAAAGGCAGATGTGGGACTCCCCCGCTCTGCAGCATAAGAAGGTGGGAGGGGTGGAGTAACCTGGTGATGACTATACCACAATAAGCAGAATCAGCTGGGGCAGAGAATGACGCCGAATGATTGGAGCAGAGTAACTGGGATGGAATGGTTTGGGGACGAGGGAGAATTACAGACCTGAAAAGATTTCCAGTTTTCCTGTGCAGAAGGTGCAACAGGGCAAGTAGAGAGAAAATTATTAAGTCGCTAGCCTTCAGTCTCTCAGCCTACCACTATCTCCCAGCGACAATTGAAAAAGGAAAAAAGCAGAACCCAGCAATCTTGCTAATGTTTAATGTGCACAGTTTGAAAAAGTAAGTCAAAATATCACATCAGAGATGTACAAAGCAGAGATCGCACAAGGGAGGGAGGGGGAGGGCATGAACTTGTGGGCTTAAGTGTTTCTTTCCCTGCCCTCTGGTATCACCCTGGGAGATCCAAAACCTTTTAGGGGCTAGTTTTGCAACTCACACCTCTCTAAAGTGCATGCAATCCTGCAAGGAAAACATCGGTGGAAAAGAAAGCGAAGATTCGGCAGCTTCAAGATTCATTGAGAAATGCTACATATCAAGGGAAGGGGAAAGGAAGAGAAGACACCCACACACACACTCACACGCCCCAAATCCATCTTTTGACCCACCCACCCAAATCCAGTCCTCCGCTTTGCCTGAAGGGTGCACAGCGCTTCCCGTTACACAGAAGTCACCAAAAAGAAACAAATTAAAGAGGATGCTTCCAGCGATAAAACTGCCTCCAATTTTAAATGGGTATTCTTGCTGACTTCACAGGGAAGCGAGCAAATTTGTGGACATGGACCAAATTCTCTTTCCTGGCCCTTGCTTTCCCCTCCCTGTGCCTCAAAATAAAGAATAATCAAGAAACAGGGCATTTTAAATCCTCCCTCCCATACTAGGTTCTACACAAGTCCAGCCCCTGCCATCTTCCAGGCCCATCTTCTCTTCCGCAGACAGACTAAGGCAGCCGGTTGAAGGATCCCCTTTCTTGAACCGCAAAAACAGAAAGAAACCACCTTTAAAAAAAAAGCATTTGTCATCTTCTTTTCGAGTTCTCTTCCTGGGAAGGACTGTCTCTTGCCCGTTCAATTTGCCCCGAACTGCTCCAGCTCTTAAAACAAATCTAAAACAGAGAGGCTGGTTTTTTTCTTTCGGAAAATAGCAAAAATTACAGTTCTCCAAGGGGACGTTGCATCCACCTAAATACATCCAAAGGTGAGGTCTGACTGAGAGAAATCCTCAATAATCGAGTCTTTCAGAATCAAACTCCCAAAAAACTTTGCTTTCCTGGACCAAAAATGTATTCTGTAATTATTACTAAATGGTCTTTTCTTATTTTTGCTTCCCAACATTTCCTCCCGACCCAAAACACTTCAAATTCCCCTAAACGAGGTTCGTTATTCATTTTTTATGTTTTTATGCTACGACAAATTCAGACTTCAGGTCCGTCTTGACTTCGGGCTTCCACACCGAGTCCTCAAAGTCCAAGTCGAGGCTGCCGTCGCTGCTGTTGCTGTTGGTTCGGCTGGATTTGCGGTTCGGCAGCCAGTGGTACGGGGCGCGGGCGTCTCGCCGGGCCTTTCGCCGGAGTCGTTTCTGCTCCATCAGAAGCTGCAGGCGCTCTACTTTGCATCGGGTGGCGCGGTTCTCTGTCTGCCGCAGTCGGTCGCCTGAAAAGCACATGAAAGGAGGCGTTGAGAAAGCTTAACATTCCTTGGCACGGCTGTGCAAAACAGAATTGGGATTTTGAAAAATAGTTTAGCTACTTAAGTCCAGCCGTCCTGAACAGCATCCGGGGCAGCGAACAACACCGGCTGCAGGAAACGCATTTCAGAGGGTGTGTGGCCCAGTGAACAAGCCTTGATGGACAACCCATGGTTTAAACCTGACAGCCGACCATGGGAGCCCTTTGTGGGCTGTTTGTGGTAAACAAGCCATGGCTTGCTAGCAAGGCTGGGTTCAGTCAGCGTGAGAACCTGCTGACAACTCATGTTCCAATGACAAAGCACACTCAGGCCTGGCACATGGGTTAATGATCCTCAAATATCTGTTCTTCGGCCCATTCTGTTCTCCCCAGACTACCAGGCAGCTCAAGGCAGGATGCCGCAGGACTGTGTCCCAGAATCCCCCTGGCCCTTGGACATCATCTGACGCCACAGGCATCTTGTTTCCCACCAGAAAACGCCAAGAGGTCCTACAGCCCTGACTCTGCAGCAGCTCATCCATGACAACGACTTTAAGTTTCTAGTCCTTAGGGTCACAGTGATGCTCAGGAGCATGCTTAGGAAGGTTTTCCATGTACAGAAAAGGCCACCAGCCATGTGAGGGGAGGGATCCAGTGACCACCTCCTCTTCTTTGTGAATATCTATGTGGTCCTAAGGAATATCTGGAATCCACAGAGGGCAGAGCCTTTGTCTTGGAATTTATTTAAGAATGGGCCGGCTTTGGGATCTGCAGGTCTCATCATCAGGGAAGACGCTACGAAATGCAGGTCACTGGATGGGGAAGAAAGAACAGGTCGACCGGGGACTTAATGCCAGCCGCACGTACACCTCCCCGCCCTCCCCGCTGTTGCTTGTCCCTCCAGACACTGGTCCGGATGAGCCTTTTGGCCCGATTCAGCAAAGTGCTCGTCCTGCACAGAAGTCAGGCACGGCTGCGGAGCTGTCAGCAAGATGCCGCAACCAACCGCACTGCGTGGATGCAGGAGGGCAGGCCACCCCCCGAGTCCGGGGGCGTGCCGCGGCTGCAAGGAGCTTCTTCACGAGCCAGGCCAGTGTGGCTAACCAGCAGAGCAAAGACGGCTGCTTGCAGCTCGGCGGCAGAGCCCAGAATGATGTTGAAAAAGCGAGACGATTTTTTCTTCTTCAAAGGATGCTTTTCCCCTGACACAGACAACCCCCGTGCGTGCAGAAGGCGCCCTCCCCACACACAAACCCCAGCCCCTCTGCAAGGGGGAGCATCAATGGAGAACGAGGCCGGTCTCTATGGCAACAGAGACAGGAAGCAGAAGCAAACAATGGTTTTTGGCACACTTTTTCTCATCCTCCCCCCTGCTTGCCTCCCCCCCCCCGGGTTCTGATCACTTCCCCTCTCTCTGAGGAGAACAGAAGTAATTTCTAACTTTATGCCACCCACACGTCCCCGTCAGAGGCAGAGGGTGTGTTTCGCACTCGCTTCTGCTCGCTTTAGCAGCCCGTGGGCGGGCGAACAATTGAACGGTTTACAGAGACGGTTTTGGGGAGGGGGTTGCAGTGGCAGGAGGAGGGGAAGCTGTGGCGAAGGAGGGAGAGGAGAAAGCAGAAGGCACGGCGGGACAACGAAGCTCATGGCGCCCTCTTTCCCCTCCCGGCACCCAGCGGCATTGGGACCGAGAGGGCGGAGGGAGGAAAAGCCGGTTAAATTCACGAAAGAGAAGTCCAAAGGGCAAAGCACCTTGCAGAGCAAAGCTGGGCCACACGTCTTGCCGCAGCTGCTCTGAGCAGCCTGGGCCTCAATTTGCCCTTCAGGGTGCCAGAAGGAGCCAGGGCCTTGCCTCGGAGCAAGTATTTCTTTAAGGAGCATCGATGGCACTAAGAAGGGAGAAGGAACCACCAGAGGAAGTAGGGGGGGTTGGACCCCCCCCCAAAAGACATTCCTGCCTCCCTGCCACAGAACAGCAGGGCAAGCAGGTGCGTTAAGAGTTAACTAACTGATCTCATGCCCTAAAAGCACAGAAGGGCAGTTCTAAAGTCTGCTGTGACAGGCCAGACCAAAGCCGGGGGTGGTATTTACTCTGGAAGTAATTCTCCAAGGATACCTCAATTGTGCAAATGCCCAGAGAGAGAGAAAGACTTTGTGCAAGGGCTGGAAAGCTCTCCACCCACACTGGCACCACTGAAAACCCTTCCGCATCCCTCTTTGCCTCACAAGAGCCTCCCTGCATGCGAATTTTGCCCACCGAGGGAGGATTTGAACCCAGGTCTCGCCTCCTGGAGCCCGACACACGAACCCCCAGACTGCGGAACAGCACTGCCCTACCGAGATTCTGGGATCCGACATCCCATCCACCCCCATCTTTCCCAGCGAGTGAGCAAACTTTGCTGGATTCCAGCTTCCATCAGCCTCAGCCAGCAATGGGAACTGAAGTCTAGACACCTTTGGACACCCTGATGCCTCCAGCATGGGTGAGGGAACCTGCTGCCTCCCAGGTGTTTGGATTACAGCTCCCATCAGGCTGAGCTCACATGGCCAAGTCAAGTCAAATTTGCTAGTGGGCACGAAGTGGCTGCCCTCTGCTCTAACCACTATACCACCCGGCTCCTGTAAATCTCTTCTGTCCAGGTCAGCGAGAAGCGACTCCAGAAGAAGAACCCTGTGTGACCACGAGGCCTGCATTGCTACTGGTGTTAGATTCAGGGAGGCCCAAGACACTTCCTTACACTTCGGGAGCAGCCAGCCCCACCATGTGCATCCCCATGGACATATGTAGGGGACCCCTGGCTTTGAGGGCAGACTGCTCAGCATTCATCCTGTTCCTCGAAGGGAAATGTTCTCCCGGCTTTCGCAACATCCACCTGGCTGTAAATCCACCACCCTCTGGGGACATCAGACGCCAACGCCGGACCCGAGCAAGAGGAAGTGGAGAGATTTCCGGGGAGCCAAAGCCGGGCAGAAGTCTTTCTGGGGTCAACGTGCTGTGGTTGCGCCACACCTGGCCTGCATCGGGCTGGACAGGGGGCCGTGCCTTCGACCCCCTTCTGCTCCATCGGAAGTGCGAGGAGAGCGGATTCAGAAGGGGGCTTTGCTGCAAGCCCCCATCTCTGACCAAACCCAATCCCCCAGTGACCAAGTTGCAGGCGCTCACACGAGGAGGAGGAGGAGGAGGAGGAGGGAGGCAGGCCTTCCTTGTGCCGCTCAGACTTTCCTCTACACTGGAGCTGCTGGGGCGAAGTGAGCAAACGGGAGGGGGAGGGAGGGGCGTGTGTGGGGGACACACTCAGAGAGAAAAAGCTGCAGAGATCCATCCATCCGCCGCAGGGGTGGGGGAAGTGTGGAGAGGGGGTGGAGTGTGGCCAAGCGAAGGAAGGAGGACAACGCGCACAGCCCCCCCGAGAAAGCTGAGCTGCTCCCGACACTGAGAAACGCCCCCGTGCTGCGCCGCCCGGATCCGGGCTCCGCTCCATCGTTGCATGTCGGGCACCTGGGAGACTCAGGTGCCAGGGATATTTTGACAGCCCCTTTTTTCCACCTTGCCAAGGAGGCACCGGCGGCTGCTGAGTGTGACGTTTCTAGGCCAGGGCAGCGGTGGGGGAGCTGGCTGATGCTGGCACGTGACCGAAAGCAGAGCATGGGGCGGGGGGATGAGGATCCCGGAAACCTTGCAGGGGGTTAAGCGGGGAAAGGCGCACCGTGGACCCACTGTGAAAGGCTGCAGCCTTCACACAATGCTCCCGAGTCCAGCTCTGCCCTTTTGGAGCAAGCTTTGCCACCAGTGTGGGGGCTTAGAGGAAAGACCACCTCCACCAACACGGCTGACCCCCCACCGACCCATGTAATAATCCGGAGACACACTTCTCAGCATGAAACCCCCTCATTCTCAGCATGAAACCCCCTCGTTGAGACCCACACAACAACCCTGTAGGGTAGGGCTGTGCTGTATTTCCCACCAGTGTCCCTGTCACGATGCAGGTGGCAGGAGAAGGATCTGACACAAGGCCAAGCCGTCATTCGAACACAGAGCTTCCGGCTTGCCTCTCTGCCCTCATGTGACCTAGCACAGCCAACATTTGGCATGTCTGCACCTTCCAGGGAAGGGGAGGGTCCCATGGTGACTGCATTTCACCCTGGCACACTACCCTTCTCAGCAGGAATAGGGTGTTGTTTGTCTTCACAACAGCCCTGCGAAGTTAGCCACTTAGCAGAGCCCATGCTGCTCAACGCACCTCTAGGCAGAAACCGGGGCGCACATCCCCGCACACAGAAATGCAGCATCTCAAGAGCGAGGATGCTGGGTGACAGGCAACCCCTCAAGCAGGAATAAATGAAGCCACGCACACAGACAGCCAGCACCTCAAGGATAAGGGTGCCAGGGGATGGCATCCTTCGAGGGGGGAAGACTCAGATCTCCGCACTCGGGGGAGAAGGGAATGAGCTGCCGGTGGGATCCAGGCCTTTGCTGAGGCCAGGGGAGGGGAGGAAGCGCCCCCCTGCACCGCCCTGGCTGTGGGGCCTACTTCTGGCCCCCAGGCCCAGCTGGGGCGTGACCACGTGGGTCTGTTCGGGGGAGTGATGAGCAGGTGCTTGTGGGGAAGAGTGCGCTCCTCTCCTCGCCCACGGCCCGGCCGAGTCGCGAGGGAGATTATGCAAGCTGCCCCGTGAAAACCCGGCAGGGAGGCTGGGAATTTGGCAAGCGGTGTGGCGGGGGAGGAAGAGGCAGCCATGACCCCCCTCCCCGAAGTGACGTCGGCATAAACCTGGCGCCCGGGCAGGGGCAACGTCTGCCGCTTGCTCCGCGGAACGTCAGCCGGGAAGCGGCGGGTGGGAAGCGCCGACAAGATTCCAATTTTCCACTTGGGCCACGAAGGGGGAAAGCGGAGGGCGGGAGAGGCTAAGCCGGGAGCCCCCGCCCTGCTCCCCCCGCCCCTGCCCGCCCGCCGTTCTATTTTCGGGCCGCGTCCTACAGCTTCCTCCCCACGAAGCCGAAGAGGGCCATGCGCAAGTGAGAGCCGGCCGGGCTTCCCTGCAAGGCCCTCGGGTTCGGATGCGGTCCAGGCGGCGACGGAGCCCAAACACGGGCAGCCCGCTGGGCAGAACTGAGCCAGCGCACAGACCCCCTGAAGGACGGCGGCAAACGCCAGGAGGAACCCACGAAGTGGGGCGCCCCACGGCAGCCGGATTTTAACCGGGAGTGGAGCTTACAAGCCCGGGACGGGCTGTGACACTAGGTTTTAGGGCCTTGGCAGAAAGCGCTTTTCCCCGTCCTCGCTAAGAGTGCTTCATCTTTAGGGAAAAGCACTGAGGTGCAACCTGGGGTCCTTTTGGATGCAAAGGAGCTGCCCCTTGGCTGGGCACAGTGGAAAGAGTGCCTGGCACATCTGGAGAGAGCTGTTTTGGGCAAAAGGATCCAGATGTTCTTCCGTGCTAGGCTCGGGCGAGCCTCTTCCTTGCACAACTAAAGCCAAGATCACCCCCAGATCTGACGTGCGTAGGAGGGACCCCACTCAGAGTAAGCTCAGCTGCATTAGCCTGAGCTTACACCTCCTAAAAGGATGCAAAACACTACGAATCCTTCCATCTTTTTTCTTTCTCTTCCTTTCCCTACCATCAACATTGTAAGCACTGTGGGGCAGAGACTTGCTATTTTGGGTGATGGGTAGGGAAGCTGCCGAAGGTGCCTCTTTAAAAGTGGTCAAAATTGGAAAGGTATTTCACCACCTTGGTGGCTTTTTAAGAACCAGAGTTATTTCAACAAACTCATTGGCTATTGGAATGCAATTAATAATGGTTTGGATCCAGGATACTTAAGAGGAGATAAATGGAGGGCTACGGCCCACTTTCTTCTGTAGGTCCACTCTGAATCCAATCGATCAAACTCAAGCAAGCTTTTTCACCCTTGTCTTCTCCTACAAGAAAGATTTCTCAGCCCCAAAACTTTCAAGTGTCATGTTTCCCACAGGTAAAAGGTTTCAGAAAGACTAAAGCAATTCAAGAATTACTAAGCATATGCAAATTTATCAAGAAATAACCAGGTAACAGTCCTTCCCTTACCACAAAAGAAGAAAGAAGGTGTATGAAAGCAAGGAAGCAACAAGGACCAGCCCCCTTAAAAACAACAACAACTACAACAGGGAAAGCCCTTTACACCAAGCAGGAGAACTGTGATATGCAGCAGCCAAACACACCTCAGTTCAGTCTTTTTAGCTCTAGACCTGGGCAACCTATTTGCATATGCAAACACACCTCCCTGAATTGGAAGAAAGAAGCCATATAAAATCTCAGCAGGCTGGGAATGGGTTAATATCAGCTATTAGCATATCCAAGCAGTTAAGATATCCCTTCCTGTGTTGAGCTGGGGATTAACCCAGAATTAAGCAAGTCCTCACTTTATTTCCTCTTTGAGACCCCAATATCTGCTTTGAATCAATGCAACTCTTGCAAGGACTGTACCACCTTTTTTCCCCAGAGCGCTGCGTGTACTGCTTGGTGGTCCCAAGCTGCAGCTACCAATCCCGAGCTGAAACAGATGAGAGAACTTTCCAGGGGGTCACACACAAATAGAGGCAGCCCTTGCCAGCACGGCCAAGGGTCAAGAATGCTAGGGTTTGTGGTCCAAAATACCTGGCAAGTCCTAAGTTGCAGAAAGTCAGTTGAAAATGATGGAATTGGAGGCCCACACAGAGAGACCCAGAGGGGGGCATGTTTGGGGCATTCAGCCAGGTGCGGAAGGGGCATGAGCCTGCCAGCAAATTTCCCTGAGATGGTAGTGATGAGTAAGAACTGCACATTAAACTTCTCAAATGCTCACGTTTCATTTCAGCATCAAAACATGCCCCTATGTCAGGGGAAAGCCAGAAGACGTAGGAGACAGGGCAGGATTTCACATCAATTGTGCCTGTAACATCCTCCCAAGAACAAAAGGCTCGCCATTGTTTTACGCCAGGGCTGGGGGAAGATATACACTTCACCTCACATTAGCCCCAGCCAACAGGGATGATCGGAGGCTGTCCCACCAGCCCTGTAGAAAATTACTTTGCTTCTTTCCTCTTCCCTCCTCATTCCTTTTCCTTGTGTGCTGTGTCTTTTTAGAGTGCAGTAATGGCAGCAGAGCAGGCGACTGCCCAGCAGCAGCATAGGCCACCCTGCCCCATAAGGGTGTTTGTTTCTGCACTGCCCTTCTTGGCCTGCATTCTTCCTCTAGGAAGAATTTGGTTAGCCTGCTGCTGCGATGGAGCAACGGACTAAGGCTGAGGCCCCATATTCCACTTCGGAGAAGCTTTCTGGGTTGAGCTGAAGGCTGAACACAAGAGTTTGCGATGCATCCAGAGAGTACTGGTGACCACATTCCCGGGCACAATGAGACATGAAAAAAACCGCAATGCCCAGGCAGGGTGTCCTCCCATCATCCCCTAGCCAGCTATGAGATGTGTATGGGATTCCGGAAGTTGGTATCCCACCCATCTGGAGGGCGACGAGATCAGGGAAGGCAAAGTCCCAAGGTTTATCTTAGACGGGTTTTTCTTTCCAAATATAACTATTTTCAAAAGCAAGCACTGAAAATGAATACCCTGCAAATCCTAGGCAGCTCAAAAAGCCATATATATAAAAAGTCAACAGAGCACAACCTTCCGCATGTGTAGACAAAAGAGAATCCTACAACCCGCTGCATGTTTAGACCAAATTGTCCCACAATCCTCTGCATGCTTAGAAAGGGGATCCAAAATCACCCAGCTGTTCCCAGCCATTGGGAAAATAGAGCACAAGCATCCAGTCAGCCAAGCTGGGGACTCACCGGTCGGTTTGCAGCTTGCCATCTGGCCCGGGCACTGGGCCCCCAACGGCAAGGTCTGGCTAGTGCCGCCCATCCTCTCTGAGGTAGAGTTGCCGGCAAGATCTGGGGAGGGGGGTGGGGAGGGCGAGAGCGAGCACTGGGTCTGGCAGCGCAGCTGGGTCAGCGACTGGGGCATGCCCTGGTAGTGCCGGGTGGCGCTCAGCAGGTCGTTGAGGATCTGCAGGATGGTGCCGATGTCCCGCCGTGGTCGGCCGCTGCTGTCTTGGCAGTTGGGGTGTAAAGTGCCTGAAGGAGAGACGCAAAAGACAGGCGTTAGTTTTCAAAGTTCTCTCTCTCAAGTTGCTAGTCCTCATGGCCATCATTACCACTGTTTCCCTTCAAGCGACTCGAGAGCCCTTGTGGCAATTTATATGAAGATTTAAATAAACAAGGCCAACTTTTTGCTGATGTTGTTCTTCCATTTCTGGTGCTCAGGCAGTTTAAAGAATTAATTTCCCCATACCTACTTAAAATTAACACTTTTGGGGGGTTTTGTTCTGCAGTTTTGTTTTGTTTTATTCTGTCTGTGGAGAGGCTTAACCTGATATGGACATGTCCCATATGGCGGTCTTGGATGAAGCAATCACTCTACATTTGTGGGTGGTGGAAGTACAGACACTTTCAGTGTTTCACAGATGTCTTCAATTCGCTTGACAAAGAGTTCTGTGGGGCCTGAAGGCATGCGCTCAAAATGTATCTCGACCACCAGAGAACAAGAAGGCAGGGCACTCAAAGACCTACCAGAGAATGTTCCCGAGAAGACCCCTGGGGCATGGTTAACGAAGCTCTCAATCACTGCACCGGGTTTGCGGGTACGGGAAGGCTGGGCTGGGCTGGCGCTGGGTGAACCATTGCTCCGTGTGCTGCAGTCCATCTGGAAAATGCAGGATGTGTTAAGAAAATCCAAAGACGGCCCTGGAGCTTGCTTTTTTCCTCCTCCCTCCACATCCATTTCCTTTTAGTGTGGTCTTCTGGCTTCCAAGCCAAAGGGCAGACACTGCCATGGGTCCTTTATCCAGCTGAACAGCAGACTTAACATGCTTCAAATGATAAGGATGAGGGACGAAGCACCTTGTTTGGAGCTCAGCTTGGGCAAGCGGGTGGAGAAAAGTGTGCTTGTGAGGTGGGTTGGGAAGGTGGGGAGGATATTCTCGGCGATAGCAGCCCTGTGACTTCCACAGGCGTTGGGCTACAAGTCCCATAATTCCTCAACACTGGGCCATGCCAGCTGGGCCTGACCTTTCGGAGGACTCCAAATCTCAAAACATCGACAGAAAATATCCTCCTGGGGCTTCGGCACCCACTGAGGACTAGAAACTTGCTTCGGTTTGGGAGGGAAAGCAAGATCCTGAACCAACAGCCGCGGAGCCTCCCATGGTTCTCTCTCGGGCTACGAAGGGGAACTACCGAAACCACGAGCTGCCCCCCTGCTTGACCCGGGTCCCCTCTGCACCTCGAACCATCGCAAGGGGGCCATGCCGTCAGCTCTGCAGGGGGAAACCGAACGCAGGGCCGCCGGCTCTCCCGCCCTCCCCTCCCACAAAACGCCCCCTCCAGCGAGAAAGGTACTGACCTCTGAACACGGAGACACGATGCCACTGCCGCCCACGGCTTGCGTGCCGGCCCCGTGCGACCGGAACATCCCTGCCGTGATGGGCGTGGGGTGGGCCGGGCTGCAGTACGCGGGCGTGGCTTGAGCCGGGGAGGGCACGGCGGTGGGGGAGGCGGGGGGGCTCGGCTGGCAAGCAGGCACTGTGGGGACTCGGGCGAAGTCGGGGGCAGCTGGGCTGCCGCTGTGGAGCGGGCGGCACCCGGGGCCGGCCGGGCTGGCGGTGGTCAAAGGCGCTGTGGCCGCAGGCCCTCCGACCTGCTCGCCGCGGCTGGCGACCACGTGGCGGTGCTGCAGCTGCACCCCGCTCTGCTGGGCGGCGAGCTGCAGCTGGACGAACATCATGTGGTCCCCGACGCGCAGGGCGAGGGTCAGCGGCGACCGTCCGGACAGGAAGTCATTTACCTGGCGAGAGAAAAGAAGAACAGTTTGGCCTGATCCTCTTCAGAGAGAGAAGCCGTTTTAGGAAGCTGCATGAAATCTTCTGGGAACGCAAGTGGCGAACCGGATTGTAAGAAGAAACCTCGGCTTGAGGTCTCGTGAAAAATACAGCAATCACATGGACAACAAAATTACGCCTCTGGTTGCTAATCCTAGGGAGCAGGTCTGGAGATTTCTAGTTGCAGAGATGTTGGTCACTATGGCAGGATTATTGTCTGTCTGCAAAGTGCCCCATGTGCAGATGCCCCTAGGAGATGGATGAATCCCCAGTAAGGTAAACAATAATGCAAGGATGGCGTGTTGTTTCCATACTCCCTTCCACACAGTTGCGCAACTGCAGGGGAACAGACCCATGCGTGCCAAGTCGCCTGGAGCCAACCCTCCGCTCGCCCCAGGGGAGCAGCTACCGGAAAGTCTGCCTCCAGGTCCCTTTCTGCTTAGGGAAGGGAGTGAGCAAGCTGGAGAGAGAGAGCCCTGGACTCCCAGGGGCTCCAAGGTGTGCTGCTCAGCTTCCACTACGGGTGTTCAGCACAGGGCAAAAGCAGCATCTGTTGAATTCCTGCCAGTGCAGCTGGGGCCATGGCAAGCACGAGGGGAGGGGAGGGGAGGGCGCCGTCAGCCCAGGGAGGCCAGCCGGCCTCCGTTTTCCCAGAGAATCACCTCCAGTTCCCCACCCACCACGAGGCTCACTTTGGACGACTGTCACACCCACACCCAACTGATCTGCCAGAGTGAGGTGGAGGAGCTTCAGAGTCACACTGGCCACAGAGGCAGGGTGGAAAAACTGTGGTAAATATTTGCCTAACCAGGTGCGGTTCGCTTTTCTAGGGTGGAGCCTCTATTAAAAAAGAAAAGAACTGGAAAGGTTATCCTTGCCAACTCAACGGGGAAGGAGACGAAAATCAAGCCAACCGGGCTATTTTTCTAGTCCGGCGACTCTTCAACCAGCTCTTCCGCCAAGCCTCGGAGGAGGAAGAAAGTTGGTTGGGCGGACAGAAGCTTGGCCTCAAAAAAAAGCTCCGGGGGTGCTAAGAGCAATCCCCTGGAACGCAGGGGGCAGTGAAACAAGAGGACCTCCTAAGCATGCACAGAGTGCACACATAAACTCCTCCATCATTGCAAAGGAAAGAAGAAAAAGGAAGCCAGAGTTCCAGGCTTTATTTTAGTTCTCATCTCTGAAAAAAATATATGTAAAGAGAGAAAGAAACCTAAACAAAACCTACTAGCTGGCTGAGACTTATTCAAGGTCAGTTACTACACTCACGTTGGGGGAATTTCACACATCTGCCCCCCACCCAACCGTTACCTCTTTGGAAATGTTGGGGGGGGGGAGGCATCTTCTCCCACCTCTCCTGCCCCCAAGCCCACTCCTGTTCCGCTGCTGCAGGAAACGGAAGCTCTGCTCCACCTGCCTCTGGTTTCTGAGAAGCTCGTGGGAACACGGCAGCCCCAGAAACACAGGACGCCGCCTCACGTGCGTGCCAAGCTGAGGCCGCAGAAGGAAGGGGTGGGCGGCGAGGAGGCATGCAAGTTTCGGACACCGGGCAGGGAGGGGCGAAGGAGGACGAGGGGCCGCAGGAGGAGAAAAAGCTGCCTCGTGCTCAGGATTTTGAAATGTGGGGGCAGAGGGACAATGTCTTTTCTAAGAAGAAAGCAAGGCAAAAAGACACGCTTTGCACTTTCAGATGTCGAGCCCCAAAGGGGGTGGAAATGTGTGTTGTGAACCTGCTAAGATTCTCCAGGGATGGCTCCAAGGGCATGTGCAGAGGGCGACCTCCACTGAACCTCTCATTCCCCTCTCCCAGCTCGGGCCTTCATTTCCCCTCCTTTCCATTCCATTCTCCTTCCCTCCTGCCCCCAAACTGAAGAAAAACCACAGAGCCCTCTGAATTAAAGGTCCATTGTAGAATGTGCCATATGGGGGTTAACTGATGGAACTCACTGCTTCAGGGAGTTACAAGCTCCCCACACTGATACCTCTGGCTTGCAGTTTGGAAAACCAGAATGTTTGAGTGAAATCAGGGATAATTATAACAGTCAAGATTTCTTCCCATGAATAACCAGGAATGGAAACTCCATGGCTAGGAAAAGCATATTCTTGAATATTGGCTGGATCAAGTGAGAAGACATGTTTCCTACAAGGTGGTTGGCTGGCAAGACCAACCTTCAGTCTGTTCCAGAAGTGGGCTGCATTGAAGAAAATGAGAGGCAGAAGCAAGGCTATGCTATCAGGTGTGCTGACAGAAATATTTTTCCTTTTCCCTCCTCATCTCCCTTTCCTTGTGTGTCATGTCTTTTAAGAATTCTCATTCGGTGGAGAAGGAACTCTTTTGTACTGACGGATTGTTAAGTCACTCCAGGAGGTCCTTTGGTGGAGAAACAGGCCCGGGATTGTCTTTCCTGTTTTATCCCCAGACAAACCTTGCAAGGTAAGTTAGATGACAAGTCAGCAATTGGCTAAAAATCCCCTGACTGGGCTTTGCGGTCGATAAGAACTCAAATCCAGACTCTCACGAGTCCAACACCCTCACCGCTACCCCACCACGGCTTGGCCACCTGTGCAAGCAGAGCCCTCAGACAGGGCTCCAATCACACTGCCCTCCACAGGACTAGTCTCTTAACTCCTAAACATCACAAGCAGGGTGTAGGGCATCAGCACCTTCCCCACCCGCACACCTCAGCACAGAGCCCCACACCGGCGACACCCTTTCACACCGGCCCCGTCGCACAAGCACCTCGGTCAGGGCCGGTCCGTACCACTTCCCCTCCACCCTGCACGCCCTGTCACGATTCTCCGAGCCTGCCTTCCTGGAGCATGCATCGCCAACCCCCGCCAGCTGAACAAAAGACGGCCAGGCACCGCCAACACAAATCGCAGTGGCACCGGGGGGGGGGGG